GGGGTGGGGGGGGGTGATAAATATACACATATCGCCAAGTAAAATTTGCAAAACCATTTTTATGAATGTCCAAAATAATATTTAAAGTATTTCTATAATATTTAACGCACGTGCTAAAACTTACAAAATAATGTACAATACTAAATACCTGTCGAAAAATAAATATTTTTATGTTGATATATTCAACATAATATAAACTATAACAAATAAAAAGGCGTGCGGTGAAAATTTTGTAAATCTCTATAAATCTAAATTTGTATGAATTTTCAACAAATAAAATATCAAAATTTTACTAACAAAATGAAATTAAAATATAAAGTTAGTTAATAGTAGAAAAATGCATGAAATGACATCCTAAAGTTATTTAAGTGCTTTGAGATTTTTATCTTAAAATATTAATATTTTTTTATATTTGATAAAATAATATAAATATAATTAATTGAATTATAGAGCTTCTTATATCTTGAAATGCATAACACTAAAGCTTATATAAAAATAGTCAATAAATAGAAAAATATGTCTACAATATATTGGCAAACAATTTGCAAAATGAACATCAGATGGTTCTTAATAACTCACCTATATAAGAATGTATTAAATCCTTAAGAAAGACAAATCTAATGAGAACATTTTATTTTCTTACTTATGATGTCAATAAAAATATATTAAAATACGCTTAAAATAAAATTAACCGTGCTCTACATTCTAGTGAAGATATTCTACAAATCATTCATGCATAAAACAAATCTGAAAAAAATCGACAACTAAATAAATCATGAAAAACTTCAATAACATAGAATGAACATAGAAGACTTATTATTTAACAAAATTAAATCTTAATAGGTGCACTGATATACTATATTAGTAGTCGTCATGTGGTTTTTTGAATTATCGAATTGACGCATTTAAGCATGTCTCATTCAAAAGATTGAAATGTGATAGAAATGATAAGCACGAGCTGAGGTTTATCATTAATTTTGATATTTGACCAAAAATTTTAAAATTGGATAGAATACTTGATTCATAAAAAAGCAATGTTTTGAATGCCCCTACATGTAATTGAACCTTACATTTATCTATTATAATTATTTATTATGTATTTAAGATGTTGATGGTATATTATATATATATAAGTAAATTAAATTTGTATTTCTATTGGATTCTGAAAAAAACAAGATCGTCGGGACTGCCATCCTCCCCGAAACAAGTTCCGCCTGTTTCGTGGTGTTGATCTGCTCGGAAAGCGTACGGAATCCCAAACCCTTTTCTATCAAGCGAAGATCCTTGGCTAGGGTTTCCCCGTCGGCAACTTGGCGATGACGGTAAAATGGTGAAGTAAAGAATCTTTGCCTCTCCTTCCAGCTCTACGCTAAAATACTCTCCAAAGATTCTTAAGTCAAGTTTTTCGATTGCGGACTTGCAGGCTGATGCACTGGCAGCCGAAGCCAGGAACGACACTGAGCACGCAGATTCTGACGGAAGCGTGCCTGAGCGTGGAGAGCATTGGGGGTCAGAAGGACGGGCGATGGCGTTCGGTGCTTACATTCTACAGGCCGATGCAGCGGGACGCCTCAGTGCCGGTCGAACACCCACGGGACTTCCTTGGACTTGCTCTCCAGGAGCAACCTTCCAAGTACTATTTCATACTTCGTCCTAACCGCATTGTTCTTGAGGCGGACGCCTCCATCCAGGTTGTCATGGAGAAGCTGCAATCCTACAAGGCTAGGGTTACCCTCAACTTTGAGGTCAATCTTTGACCCTCTTATTTTATTCGTGAATGTTCTTGAGACATATATGAGTTCATGCTAGATTTTTCTGCAGCTTTTACCTTTTGTGCGATGGCGAATTGTTTGTTGCTTGGTTTCTCTGTGAATAGACTACAATTAATCAATGTTTTATATCTCCCTCAGAAAATGTCAACTTTAAATTCTGTTGTTTGAGAACTTATATTTTCTTCTTTTGGATTTATGTATTTGAAAAATTATTCTTTTAGAGACTTTACACAAACCAGGATGCACCCAATATACCTTTTTTGGTGTCTTATTCATTTCTGCACGATTATAATGGATTTATACAGAACCAAAGATTTTGCTGCACACTTATCTATTGGGGAGATTAGTTGTGAAATCAATTCATTCAAGAACTCGAGTCTTTCCCATAAAAGTGATGCTTGTGTTTTTTGTTCTCTATGTTGTTGATTCATTACCTGTTTTATGGGAATTCAGGAGTTCTCATATGATGTTTTTGTGGTAGTGCATTCCATGATCTAGAATATTTATTGTTCTTGTTACTTATAAACATTTTTTATCTGGATTCGTTATACCTCTGCTACTTGATGGTCATGACTGCACAGGGTTGGAAAGATGACATTGTTGTTGATGTTGTTAAAAATGTTTTATTATAAAGTTTTCTTACTCTATTCTGGTTACATAAATATATTGAGTATGTTGCATCATATACACATGTTTTTATCAGTGATATCCTGACAGATTTTTCTGCAAAATATCAAGTAAAAAGTATCAGTTGATTTGCTTGTGCCTGTAAATTAGTGGCGATGAAGAAACCAGTTTTTGCCCTGCTTTACTAAACACTTTTATGATGCAAATGTTCAGCGTGCTGGGAATATCGATGTCTATCATAATTTGGTGCTGCACCTTGTGATTTGATTTGCTAATAGTAGAATTGTGGCATCAAGGTAAGATGGATGGCTGAATGGTCTCTTATAAGTCTACCTTTGGTAGTGGGCAGGTATAAATGATTTTTGTCAACTTTCTTTCTATATTGATATAATGATCATTAATGACAATATACATTTTTTGTGCGCTTTAAAATGTACCATGAACCCACTTCTTTAGCAAGAGATTTTGAGCATGCACTGCAAAGAGTAATGATAGTGCCAACTATGACTATGGCTCCATACCGAGAGTTGTCTTCGTCCTTCATATTTATACATATCATCATCTAAACAAGGAGTTCACCCCACTTATGTGCAGGGCACTCTACCTCTAGACATGAGGAGGCTTTGATGGTTTTTGAAACTTGGTGTCACATAAGAGTATTTAAGGGGTGGTATAGTAAGTGGAAGCTTTCCAATTTCACAAGAAAACCCTATATGTCAAAACATAAAGTTTCAATTGTAAGTTTTTTGAGATTGAAGTACATATCTAATATAAGCGGTGTTGAGATTCTCCTTACTAGAAATGAGTTTTTGAGGATTTTCACTATGCTCTTATCATAAGGTATGCGGTAAGACGACAAACACCACATGTGATTCGGAGAGGGCATGGTTCTTAGTTGTTTGTGAAGAAGACTTTCACTCAGCTAGCAGTGATTTACCTTGGGACTTTAAACCACAATGTTTTCATATTCCAACTTCAAAACACTTTAGGTGTTGGACGTATGGCACATGCAAACATGTGCGCGAGTGCCCACACTTTCATCTGCATATACACATGCACATGGCTGTAATCAAACTAATGCTCTCAACTCGCTTGATTAACAAAGTCTAATTTTTCTAAGTATGAATCAAAAAAGTCTGAGCGCTTTTTATAACTTCGAAGTCTAGATGTGCTAAGCATGAACATAGTGCAACTCATTTATTTATGCTCGTGAAGGCTTATTTATTTTCTAATAGGTAACTTATTAAAGGCATGATATTATGCTCGAGGATGGTTTGTATATTATTTAATTGAAAATTGGTTATTATAAATTGTTTAATTACTTATTTAATGACAATATAATATAATATAATATTTATTTATTAGTCTAGATTATTTTCCCAATTCTAGTTTCTTATTTTGTAATTTCATTTTCCATTATGTTTGCTTCTTGTTCTATGCTTACAAGTTCTTTAATTTTCAATCTCAGTAGTCTCTCGATGTCTTTTACTTAAATAATGAGAGTACATCTTCTATTTTTATCCTTCTTAGCTTGCTCTTGATTGACGGATTGGTGAGTAATTTATTTGCACATTTTTTTATTCATAAACACATCTTCAACATGCTAGTGTGAGAATTGGAGCTTTTCAGGCTGTATGTGAATTAAATGTTAGAGGGCCTTGAAGGATTTTGAGATTGGTAAGAGCTTTGAATACAATTTGTTACTCTCATTTGAATTTCGTGACAATACATATTAAGCTTTATGCTTTTCTTATTTCAAAACTAACACCATTGTTATCTTAATATATTGGCCCTTGTTCATAATAGTTCGTTAATGCACTTTATGTTATTTATAGAGCACAATAACAGTTCTTTTATCTGCTTTGCAAGATAAAATTCCTTAACTTTTAGGCAGGGATATAGTATTATGAATAAAATTCTAACATGAATTACACAAAGTATTACTAATAACATATTTTATGAGATTAAGAAATCAATCCTCCTACATCCACATGACAAAAATATTACTAGTTCATTATATGTAGTATGAGAGTAGATAATATCATAACAAAAATCTAGCAATTGAAGGGTGTTAAATTTTAGGTAAGTATTTCTTATTTCTAAGATTTGAATAGTTTTCAACTTCTAACTCTTGATTTGCAACCAATAAATTTAGATTCTATCGTGGAGTCTATATAGTGTTCAATCGTGAATGACACTTAAGAAAATTTTGTAATTGATGTGATTGCAAATGTCGTTGAAGGAGTTGTGAAAGTTTGTAATGATGACAATAAAGAGAACCCTTTGGAAAGGAAGAAAAAAGAGAAAACTTTGGAAGTTTGAAAAAACCTCAATACTTAATTTTAGTAAAATTGGAAAATTGATATTTAGAAGTTACAGTGCAATCATTAGAGCTGTTACTTCTGTTTGAATTGAAGGAGGATTGACCAAATAGTTTCCTATTTCTGTTGGATTACATCTGGGATCGACTTTAAGCCCATATCTTTTTGCTTTAGTTATGAATGGTCTTACTAGAAATTTACAGGAGGATGTACCTTGGTGTATGCTTTTTGCTGATGATATCCTTCTTGTGGATAAGACGAGAGAAAAAGCTCAGGAAAAACTTGAATTATGAAGGTCTACATTGGAGTCTAAAGGCCTTCATTTGAGTAGAACAAAAACTGAATACATGGAATGTAATTTTAGTAGTAGTAGCTCTAGTGACAGAAGTGTGACTTTGGGTGATCAATTTATTAAAAGTGTGAACGATTTAGATACATAGGGTCCGTTGTTCAAAGCGATGGTGATATAGATGGGGATGTGATATATGATATAGATGGGGATGTTAATAGTAGAATTCCAGTTGGTTGGTTGAAGTGGAGGAATGCTTCGGGCCTTTTTTGCGATAGGAAAGTACTGCTTAGGCTGAAAGGAAAATTTTATAAGACGGTGGAAAGAACTGCAATGTTCTATGGCGTTGAATGTTGGCCTTTAGAAGAGAAGCATAATTCTAAGTTAAGTGTTGTCGAGATGAGAATGATTAGGTGGATGAGTAGCTTTACACTCAGAGACAAAATGCGAAATGAATATATCCGTGATAAGGTTGGTGTAGCTTATGTGACAGACAAAATTAGAGAAAGCCGTCTTAGTGGTTTGGTCACATTAAGCGTCGACCATCTAATGATTAGATTAGGAGAGTAGATGTTTTATATTCAATTTATGTTAAGAAAGGCAGAGGTAGACCTAGGAAGACTTGGGCTTATTGTATAAATTAAAAATGATCTTAATTTACTAGAACTTAATGAAAATATGACACTAAATAGGATGCAATGGAGAAAAAGGATTCATGTAGCCGACCCCACGTAGTGGGATTAAGGCTTTGTTGTTGTTGTTGTTGTTGTATTATAGTGCAATCATTGCAGTTTACATATGAGTAAAAAAGACAGTTGCCAAGTGAGTCATTTTTCATTTCTTGGTGAATTTGAAGCGTCTAATTATTTGTTAACTTTCTTAGTTGTAGTGAAACATATTGATTTCAATGAGATCAAATGTTCCAACCGTTTTGTGGAGTTGGTGTAAGCTGGTTTTCCAAAGACTTCTTCTTACTCTTATAAATATTGATGTTTATTTCAAAGCTTTTAAAAATTTTTCAAATTAATTTAATTTATTATTAGTAAATCAACATATTGATTTGATGCAGTCCCTTTTTGTTTCTCTATCTCAAAGAATTTACTTGTTGACGGTTCTTTATGCTGAATTATTGCAAAAAGGTATGTAAGCGACTTATTGTATATCTTATTTGACTGGTGTTAAGTAGCTAGATACTAATTCCATATTTATTGATTTGCTTGATCATTAATATGAGATGGCAAATACTCGTTCTATTTTTGAGCTTGTTTATCACCTTGTTTAAGTATTTGTTTGATTAATGCCAACTACAAGTCATGCTAGATTATATATATATATAAATTCTAAGCAAGCCAGGCACCATGTGAAAGCTTGGCTTGAGCTCGAACCAAATACGAACAACTAATAATATTGCCAAGCTAAGCCCAATCCATGTTGTGCTCACATCCATCATCTTATATAGAAATTAAGGGCAATTAAATAAATTAATTGAACGAAAAGTAAAGGGAGGAGGGATGTTTCAACTGGAGTTCTATATGCTTGATTAGCCCTCAAATTAGCATTTTTTGAATCTCATCCTCCCTACCCATTCCTCCAACAACAGTCATCTATGCTCGTTGAAGTCCATACACAGAAACATTCCTTGCCCCCTCATTCAACTTCACTTCATTCTATACACACACCCCCACCTCTCCTCTCTCTTTGTCTACATTGATGAAAGGCCAGATGCACGCATTTAACTTTCAAGGTAACTGGGTGATACTGGAAGATAGTCACCATTGATATTCTGCAAACAATAGAGGACGCAGGTACACATCTTTCTTTTGCGTTTTCTTTTAATAAGGGATTGCACTTTCTTATACCTATGATCAATGGAGGACATACCATGTTTGATTTTTTTAATTAGAATATTCACATTGGATTTTGCATTTATTGCATATAAACTTCTGTATTATACCTGCATATTTATTTGCATGTTCAAATAACCAAGAACTTTTTACCTACCAATTTATCTATCTGCAAGGAAAATCTGGGCAGCGATAAACAATTCTTTTATTGATATCACACAAATTAACTAAATGCTAGAGTAGAAGACTTATTGTGAATTTTGTGTATTAATTTCTTCCCAACATATCCTTACCAGTTATCAATGAGGAGCTTTTGTTTCATTGATTTTTTCTTAAATAGGATCAACTGTTGCATAAGCCAATATTATTCTCTTTCTAGTGATGTTTTTTTAACATCCTACAATTTTCACCTGCATTTGTTTTGTGATTGAGGGGCGTTTTAGAGCACTACAAATTTTTATTTTATTTATTTATTTATTTATTTTTTATTGTATGTAGGGTTTTCAATATAAACTAGGTGACTTCCAAGTAAGAGTAGGAAAATGCATTCCTTCGACATCAGAGGCTTTAAGAGGAATCATGATGGAGGTATGTTGTTCAAAACTTCTATGGTGAATTTGAATTTTTTAATTTTTTTTTTGTTTATGTTCTCAACTTATGTCTAGATTAGATTTTTTTTCAATTATTAGTAATAAGGATTTTTGGGAAGATTGCCATTGTTGTTTCTAAGACTGAACAAAAAAGATTGAGTGTTGATGTTTCTGTTATGACCAATTATAAAGTTTTTGATGATATGAACCGTATTTTGAGTTTTTGTTAATCTTCCAATAAGAAATGCATATTTTAAGAAATATGACCATCATTTAATTACTTTCAAAAGATGAGATACTGAAGCACAAATGTTCCGTTTTTACTTTGAAGGAAAGAAAAACCATTTTGTAAAGATTGTAAGGTTTTTCTCAAATAGAGTTTGATTGCATAACATATAGTAGCTGTTTGGATGTATTTTTAACCATATAAAGAAATCAATATAAAGAAATAATCGTTCTAGGATAAGATGGTGAAATTTTAAATGCAAGAAATCGTGAGGTTGCTAAAAAAATGCAATTTGAGTTGAGTAAATTTTGATATGAATAGGATAGATTTTCCCATTTAAATGATTACTATAGAAGCTTTAGGAGCATCTGGAAAGGAAACTTTGTGAGTAAGTGAGAAGTTTATCAAGTTAAATGAATTACTTTTAAGCAGTAATATAAGTTAAACATTAAGGAAACTTATATTGATTGTAAGAAAGAGCAAATCTTGCAAACGAGGTAATGAACTAAGAAAAAGCTACTAAATTTTGATGTCTTATATAATAGGCTGAGAAAAGGAGCATTTAAAATAGCCAGTGCAAGAGATAAGTGTTTCTGGGAATAGAGATGACTGTAATAAGAACTTAGTTATCAATAATTCATGAAGGAAAGATGGAAATGCTGTATAGGAAATTACTAAATGAGAGTTATTAATAATTGAATATTTTGGAACCCAATGAATAAAATAATGAGGTATATTATAGCTTGATCCAAAAAAATGAGGCCAAGTTAGCTTTATTGAAAGTTTATGAATATAAAAATTTAGGATCAAAGGAGATACTTATCCTGATTTTCTGAGTTAGAAGGGCTTTTATAATGGTTTAATCAACAAAACTTAACTTTTTAATAGAATTTTAAAATACTAAGGCAATACTAAATAATTTGAAAGGAAGATTTTGGATTACTTATAAAACTAAGGTGATAAATGAATTTTATTACAAGTCATACAATGAAGCTGTATAGGAAAGTAATAAATGAGATGTTTAGAGAGTGGAATGTCATTTCTTAAAGATAAGATATTTTGATAATTGACTTTGGTGGTGTGTAATAAAGGATATAAAATGCTCTTATTAGACAAGTAGATAGATTTAATGTTGGAGGATTGGGAAGAAAATTAGTAGATTGAAGGTAACATGGATAAAAATAATAAAAAAAATAGCTAACATCTTAGGTAGCACTCAACATGATTTGAGGGAAACAAGGATTAATAAATTTGAAACCCAAACAATTAAGATTAGGATAATTATGATGACCATGATGAATTAAAAAAATTCTTAGGATCTTATTCTTTTTTTATGAGTATTAACTTGCATGTAGAAGTCATACATTATGGATGAATACAGGCAAAGAAGACAATTTTGAAATTTAGGCACTCACAGGTAAATTAATGAAATTAATAAATATTATGATTCATAGAGAAATAAATGTCTTATGTACTCAATAAACTAAATGGGTTGGAGAAAAACTAAAAAGATTAATATCTTATGTTATAAAGTTTGATTTTCAGGCATGAGTTGCACTAGAAATGATGTAGGTGTAATTATATGGCTCTAAAAGATGATGTTAAAAATTAATTGAATTAGATATAGAATTATAACCCTAAAAATTGTTGTTATTAAGATTTTTAATATTACAAGTACTTATGTTCTTAAAGTAAGTTTAGATATATGTTAAAAAGAAAAGTTCTGGATTGACTTGGAACAATTAATACCTCTTAAAAAAAATTGTTGGAGGAGATTTAAATCGATATGCTAGTATAGTGATAGAAGATTTTTAAAAAATACATGGTGACTATGTTTTTTGAGATTGTAATGAAGAAAGTAAAACTATATTAGATTTTGCTTTAACTTACGATTTCATTGTCACTAATACTTTATTTAAAAAAAAAGAGATGAACATATTCTAATAAAACACAAATTGATTATTTTATTATGAGGAAAAAAATCATCGAGAATGTAAAGATTGTAAGTTCATTATAAGTGAAAATTTGAGTACTCAACATATTAGTTCTGAATTTTAAGATGCAGAGTCGGAAGATAAAAAATATAATGAAACATTGTCATAAATTAGATGGGTGCAACTAAAACGACACAAAAAGAAAATTATTTTTACGAGCAAACTTCAGGATTTTAAGATTTGGGATGTTCAAGAAGAAGTTAGTTCTATGCATAATAACACTATTAAACATGTGACAAAAGACGTACTTGGAAAATGAAATGAAAAAGTTTTTATAAATAAAAATAACTGGTGGTGGAATAATAATGTGCAAGAAAATATAAAATATGATAAATTTTGTTGTAAAAATTAGTTTAAATGTAAAAACTTAGAAAACTGGGAAAAATATAAGGTGACGCCTTGAGAGACCAAGAGAATAATTTATGATGCTAAGAATTCTGTTTTTAGTCTTTTCATAATAGATTAGATATTAAATGGAGTAAAATATATATATGTATAAATTAGCCAAATAAAGAGAAAAAATAAAGATTTAATTCAAGTAAATTGTATTAAAGAAGAAAAATCAAAAGGTTCTCTTAGAATAAGATATTCAACATAGGTGGGTGAGATATTTTTATAAACTTTTCAATGAAATTTTTGAAAATACGATCGACTTATCTAATATCGTTAATAATAATAAATTTTTTTATTATTACCGTCACATTAATAAAAAAAAAGTTGATGAATCTTTAAAGAAAATTAACGGTGGAAAATCAGTTGGACCTAATGACATCCCAATAGAAGTTTGGAAATATTTTAAAGAATTGAGAATTTCTTGGCTTACTAAACTTTTAATACTATTTTAATAACTAAAAATATGACTGCAGAATGGAGGAAGAGTATTTTGACCTCCATCTTTAAGAATAAAGAAGATGTAGAAGAGTGTGCAAATTATAGAAGAATTAAGTTAATATATCATACATTAAAATTATGGGAGAGAGCAAAAAAGATATTCAACATAGGTGGGTGAGATATTTTTATAAACTTTTCAATAAAGTTTTTGAAAATACGATCGACTTATCTAATATCGTTAATAATAATAAAACTTTTTATTATTACCGTCACATTAATAAAAAAGAAGTTGAGGAATCTTTAAAGAAAATTAATGGTGGAAAATCAGTTGGACCTAATGACATCCCAATAGAAGTTTGGAAATATTTTGGAGAATTGAGAATTTCTTGGCTTACTAAACTTTTAATATTATTTTAATAACTAAAAATATGACCGCGGAATGGAGGAAGAGCATTTTGACCTCCATCTTTAAGAATAAAGAAGATGTAGAAGAGTGTGTAAATTATAGAGAAATTAAGTTAATATATCATATATTAAAATTATGGGAGGGAGAAAAAAAGATATTCAACATAGGTGGGTGAGATATTTTTATAAACTTTTCAATGAAGTTTTTGAAAATACGATCGACTTATCTAATCTTGTTAATAATAATAAAACTTTTTATTATTACCGTCACATTAATAAAAAAGAAGTTGAGGAATCTTTAAAGAAAATTAATGGTGGAAAATCAATTGGATCTATCGACATCCCAGTAGAAGTTTGGAAATATTTTGGAGAATTGAGAATTTCTTGGCTTACTAAACTTTTAATATTATTTTAATAACTAAAAATATGACTGCGGAATGGAGGAAGAGTATTTTGACCTCCATCTTTAAGAATAAAGAAGATGTAGAAGAGTGTGCAAATTATAGAGGAATTAAGTTAATATATCATACATTAAAATTATGGGAGAGAGCAACAAAGATATTCAACATAGGTGGGTGAGATATTTTTATAAACTTTTCAATGAAATTTTTGAAAATACGATCGACTTATCTAATATCGTTAATAATAATAAATTTTTTTATTATTACCGTCACATTAATAAAAAAAAAGTTGATGAATCTTTAAAGAAAATTAACGGTGGAAAATCAGTTGGACCTAATGACATCCCAATAGAAGTTTGGAAATATTTTAAAGAATTGAGAATTTCTTGGCTTACTAAACTTTTAATACTATTTTAATAACTAAAAATATGACTGCAGAATGGAGGAAGAGTATTTTGACCTCCATCTTTAAGAATAAAGAAAATGTAGAAGAGTGTGCAAATTATAGAAGAATTAAGTTAATATATCATACATTAAAATTATGGGAGAGAGCAATTGAATATAGTTTGGATTTATGTCGAGCAAGTCTACTATGGAAGTTAAATATTTATTGAGAGATTTAGTGGAGAAGTACAAAGAGAGTAAGGAGGATATACACACAATTTTTATTTATTTAGAAAAAGCTTACGATAAGGTTTGAAGAGAAGCTCTTTGGAGAGTTCTAGAAATGAAATGTGTTGATATGACTTATATTGAAGTCATTAAAGATATGTATAGTATAGCTGTTGTGTTCAAACAGTAGGAGAATTAACCAAGTATTTTCCTATTTCAGTTTGATTACATCAGGGATTGACTTTAAATACATATTTTTTTTACTTTAGTTATGGGTGCACTTACTGAATAGCTAGGAGGATATACTTTGGTGCATGTTTTCACTAATGATGTCCTTGTGGATACGATTAGAGAGTAAGTATTTTGGAGCTCTATGTTAGAGTCTAAAGACCTTTGTTTGAGTCGATCTTAAATTGAATACATGGAATGTAATTTTAGCAGTAGCTCTTGTGATAAAGTTGTAATAATGAGTGATTAAATCATTAAAATGGTGAACATTCTAGATATCTTAGGTCTATTGTTTAAAGTGATGATGATATAGAGGGGGATGTTATTAATAGAATTCAAGTTGGATGGTTAAAGTGGAGAAATGCATCAGACCTATTGTGTGATAGAAAAGTATCACTTAAAGGAAAATTTTATTTGATGGTGGTAAGACCTGCAATTCTTTATGATGCAAAATGTTGGCCTATAAAATTGAAGCAAAAAATTAAATTAAATTTTGCTGGGATGAGTATGTTTAGGTGGATGAGTGGCTTGACTCTTAGAGACAAAACGTGGAAAGAAGGTATCCATCAAAGGGTTAGTGTAGCTCCGGAAGCAAAGAAGATTAGAGAGAGCCGTCTTAGATTGTTTGGTCACATTAAAATGTTGACCATCTGATGATTCGTTTGAGAGAGTAGATGTTTTAGATTTGATTTATATTAAGAAAGGTAGTGGTAGTCCTAAAAAGGTAGAGGCATGTTGTATAAAAAATGATCTTAATTTATTAGAATTAAGTGAAAATATGCACTAAATAGGATATAATAGAGAAAAAGGGTTCATGTAGCTGATCCCACCTAGCGGGATAAGGGCCTGTTGTTTTTATTGCTGCTGCTGTACTTTGCGTTTTATTTTGTTTTGGATGACCACTTCATACCCAAAAGTTACAATGATGCTTACAAACTTTTATGTTTGATGTTTCTATTCATTATAAAAGACTATTTCTAACCATATGTTCATATATATCATGCCCCTTTTTTCATCTAAGCATATCTCAAGCCAAGTTATCACAAAAGACAAATAACGTTTGCCAATAGCCACTATAGAGAACACAACTCACACGATTAATCACCAATAGAGACAATGCAACCACTTGCTGCTAATTTTTCAATCACACATAGTCAAAAGTACTTGAATTATTAGTGAACTAATGATACGTGAACCAACTAGTCCATCCCTTCACCAAACCTTAAAGGCAAACTTAATATTAAGAAACATAAAAAATATCTCTTTCTCAGGTCATCGTCATAGGCATGTCCAAAATAACTGAATTACAATATATAACAAACCAAATAAGTAAATAAAAAAAAAGTTTTGCTGAGATTATTGTTTGATTTGATGCTTTTGAAGGGAATAAACATGCATATTTCTATCTTGTAGTTCAAAAAAATTTTCATTGATTTGCTTCTACTATCTTTTAAAATGGATCTATGAAATTTCAAATTGTTTTTGCATGATAGTTGGTTTTGCAGAGCATATATTTGTGGGCTTTGAAAGTTCCCCCACCGACCTCCCTTGAAATTAATGAGAAAATTTTAAGTTATGTTTTGGGTCAAATTTTAAGAAGGCAGATGAGATTGTGTGGATAAAATACCACTCATAGATTTTGTCTTCCTTTTGAGGGGACTCTAAGATATGAGGTCTGAGGTTTCTCACAAACCTCTGTAGTCATCTATCTTGATAACTGGAGAGTGCTTTTGATTAAAGCTATTCATTAGAGCGCTGATAGCTCAGCAGTAGTAGCAACAATTTAATTTTTAGATTGAGAAATTTATCATTGCGAGCTTAAAGTATGATGACAAAGTTGATAAAGATCCCACGGCTCTTTTGTCTTTGGTTGTCTTATTGCATCATCCTTTTAGTCAAAGGAGATGTCGATCCCATGTTAAGTCGTATGCACATCCTGAGTTTGAAGGGAATAATTTAAATGAACCGAGAAGGAAAGAGGGTGGAGAAGCAGGCCGTCAAATGCTTGTTAATCTTACTAGGACAACATTATTGCATGCTTATAAGAAGAGAATCTTTTTTAGATATTGCTTCTAAGGGCATTATCACATCATGACAATGGGGATACTACTTTTTGGGTATTGTGGAGCTGTTTGTTATTGTATTAGTGGTGACGAGTGAAATAGTAATGGTAATACTTCTTGCCTTGATTAGCATATCAATTTGGACTTTGCTATGCTCTGGGATGATGACTTTGACATGTCTACATAGGTGTAGAGTTGGTGATGGAGGGGGAGTGGAACAGATGGGAAGAAATATGAGTGAGATTTCATATCAAGTATTGATGAAAAGATTATATTGAAGCTTAGCCAGTTGTTTGAAATTGTTCGCCATAGAAGAGATGTTGCGAGGATATTATTGGCTTGAGGTAATTTCATTGAAGAAGTTAAGAAATGATACCAATATGCACAACCAACACCTCTTTAGGAATTACTTGCAAAAAAAAAAAAAAAAAAAAAAGAAATGCACATTTATTGTAGTTAACTCGGCAAAGCATGGTTGTTAGTACGAGATTTGGGATATTTGTGTACTTATAAGCATACGTTGTTATATACATTACACACAACAGGGATGACCCGAGTCATTGTTGTTCTACTTCAGAAATTTATATGAAAGCTCGTGATGGAATTATTCATCCCATTCCACATGCAAGAAACACTGGCTAAAAATATCCCTATATAGGTAGCACTAGTAGGACTTAGAAATGGTGTGACCACAAACAACCGAAGCCCTAGAAGGAATTCACAAGGAAACATCGAAATGATACATCCTCAGGGTTTAATGAAATCGTCCACGACATTAGATCTCAAGGAGTAGTGGTTTGCTTAGAGAACCTTAAATGTTTCTAGTTTCATATACGCTTGAGAATGACATGCTTGTTTCTGTTTTAAGAAGGCGGAGTGCCAGTATTTGCATTGAAAATGTTTATTTCTGTTTTGATGTTTTCAGGGTGGAGTGACACTGTATGGTTATCTTGCTTCAATTGGGGTGATTCTCAAGATTTAATTTTTATAATGAATTGTGATTTATTATAGTTTCTATATGAACTGTCTACTTTTTCTACTGAATGACAAACAAAAGTTCGAACTTTAACTGTTGCATAGTTGCCTTAAAGCAAATTAAAGCGATGAAGCTTCCTATAAAGTTCGTGGTATAGAAAAAAAGGTTTTAAATGAGATAAGTTTTATTGCATGACAATTGCATTCTTTTGTAGCACATAACAATACTGAATTTATATTAGCTTAAGGTCATATTCAGTTGATCTACTTCAGCTATTATTTCTCAAAAATTTGATGGCACTCTTATGTATTCTTCGGCCTATTCTTTGCTAGTTCAACGCGTGTTGGAATTATCAGAATTTGGGTTGATTTTTTAAGCTTCGCACCTTTGGAAGAATCGATTGTGATTCCTGGCAGATGTAAAAATTAAAACAAAACTCGTCATGATTTGCAGTATAGTTTGATAACTTTACTACCGGATGTTGGTTGCACTTGCAAAACCCGTTGCTAAACCTCATATCACATAAAAAATGGCATCATTTCAACTTGTAGAAAGTCGGATGCACATTTGCATGCATAGATAAGATGATATGTCTGTAAAAATTAAAGTGTAGGCATTACATGTGTAAATACATAGGAATTGAATGGCATGTATGTAAATCTTCTTTCAAATAAATGATTCAAATATTCATTTTGCCAACTCTTCTGTGTCATCATCATTACAAATATTTTCTTTTGCAGGTTGAGTATCTCCCCCTGTCATCCATCGATAAATCCAAGAAAGTTCTGGAAGATTTCTTTGACATTTGGCAGGAAACCATTTCGAAGAAATCATTACCCGGAATTTTCATGCACATTGAATCCAACTTTGCTGATTATGGCCTTCAAGATCGCTATACTTCTCTTCACACTGCAGTACAGTACGCAACCTGCATGGCTCAGTTAATTGCCGCAGTGAGAGGTTAGCAAAACCATCACTTTTGGGGCTTTGCTCTGATAGACTGTGCTCGGTTTTAGTGAATCGAAGGAGAGGAAATGAGCAGTTTGTTGTAATTATTATTATTATTATTATTTGTATAATATTTAGCAATATTTATTATTGCCGGCTTTTAAAAAGTTTTTATCTTATTTTTCAGTCACTGCATTTTTATTTATTTGACAAACAATCGTTTTCCTTTTTAATGGGAAATTTACATACTTATCACACTATTCTTATGTATTCATATATCAAGCACCTAGACTTTCCTATTTGCATTTATGACAATTTGGTAGAGTCTAATCTAAAGCATGAAAATTTATATTTCACGTAAAATTTTGATAATAGTGATAATTTAGTTATATAATGTTAAAATTTGAGTGTTATCCATGCAAATGTGAAAGTTTAGGTGTTAGATATGTAAATTATTGATGATGGAAGAAAAATTACAAAATGATGAAAATCACTCTCTGAAGAAAAGAAAAATACGAAGAGGAATAAACAACACTGGAAAACATCAATAAAGATCCTAAATAGCCATCATCACCGAGGATGAGTCTCAAACCAATTTGAAGCCCCAATTATGTATGAGAATAATAAAGAACACATGGGGTTAACATGTAAACCTCTATTATTTAAAATATATAAGGTTTTAGCCCTCTTATAAGGGTTTTTCGGGTCATAATAGGATAAATTAATAGAACAATCTTTTAACCAGGCGAGTTTATGCCAATCCACTTCAGGATGGTTCTCATAAGAGAGACAATAAACCTTATATTTAGAATAATTAGTCTTCCCTTTTCAAAAGCAAGTAGTGTTACCATCCCCAGTCTTAAAAGTTTTGAATCGAGTTGATGCAAAATTTAGGAGTATTACCATTGATATGAAGATTCCATTTGTTATTTAATAAGATTTGAAACATGTAAAACAAGAATATGAGAACTAGAAGTGGACCTAATTTTTCCACCAAAGAAGAACCAAGGAAAAAAAAATGGAAATTTACATGGCACCAAAAGTCTTATGCATTCACTTATCTCACACCCAAGCTTTGATTTTTTTACACCCCAAGCACTTTAATCCATGTATGAAAATGTTGATTACACTATTTTCACCTTTTCATACAGGAAAATGTGCTTTAGGTGTAAAAATCAAAGTTTGGATGTGAGATAAAGTAAATAAATAAGAATTGGTGCTATGTATGTAAATTCCCCAAGAAAAAAAAAATGAAGATTGCAACATTCATTAATATCAAAAGCAAGATTACTTCTAATTCTAGTGGTAACCTGAACCATGTTTCTCCAGAAAGTAGCATGCATATTTGTACCTTTATACAAAAAAGAACCATGATGCTCAATATACCAAGCAACAAGATAAAAATTAGAATTTGAATGCCTCCAAATGCTTTTAGCTTTGCACATAAGATAAATAGTATCAAGATTAGTAATGCACAAACCACCACAATGTTTAGACATAGTAGTTGCACTCTAATCAATAGTATGCATTCTCATATCCACCTCATTATAATGTAAGAGGTTATTAGTAATAGAAAAAAATATTTCTCTTCAAATTTTACGAAGAACAATACATCAGAACCAATAATAAATGTAGTTCCAAAAGATAATTTCACTAATTGATCTCTAGTAGCAAAAGAAAGCAATTTTTATTTCCACCCACCTAGCCACATGTTTAATTTATCTAAAGATTTTATAACAATCAATACTCCTCAATTTAGAATGATGAATGAGAATCTCAAGATAATCCCAAGGAGAAGACATTTCGAAGGAAAATCCAAAATATTACTGATATTAGAACAGAAAAGGCTTTGATTGATTTAGAAAAATATAATGCGCATTTTTTGCGAATTAGCACAAACTTTAGTAGTCTTTTTAAAAACATGTTGTAACCTAGTTGAATTGAAATTGACTTTCCCAAAAACAAGTCATCAACAAAAATAAGTTGAGTATAACTCTGATCAGAAGAGTCTAAATGTCTAGATAAGGCATCCATATAAAAATTAAGTGTGTGTGTGTGGGGGGTGTTTGGGGCCTCTCTTATGCCTGAAGAAGTAGTAAAAAACAACCTTTAATATATTTATTAATAATAATTGAGAAAGGAACATTAAAAGTGCAAACATCAATCCATTTAATATAAAAATGAGAAAATCTCATTTTTCCTCATTCTATCATAAATAAAAAATCCGATCCTGAAGAAGTAAAAGATAATCTTTAAGATATTTATTAATAATAAATTAACTTTTTAAACCATTAAAAAGTTATTGACAAGCACCACATTATCAACAAAATTCCTTTCAAAAATAAAAGTTGTTTTGGAATAATGAATAAGAGTGGAAAAAATATGCTTAATCTTAAGAATCAGCCAATAATTTAGCAATCACTTTATAAATGATATTACATAAGAAAATATACCTATATTCATTCAAAGATTTAACATTAAAAATTTTAGGAATAAGTGTGATGGTTGAATGCTTCACTCTATTAGGAAGTCCAACATTCTTTAAAAAAATATATTGAACAACAAGAATGCAAGAATGATCAGTAATATGTCAAGTTTCTTTAGATTTATCATTAGCAACGCTGAATGAGACATCTCTGATGTCATTATCATCAAAATCTCAAGAGATGAATATTTTCTCCTAAGAATTAATATATCTACACATTGGAATTTTATAAAAAAATTAAGTCCCACAGGTCTTTATTCCCTAAAATTATCTTCTCTTGTGTGACAATATGGGAAGTTGTTGGGTTGGTGAGTAAGGCTTTGAATCAACAAGACCACAATTAGTGTTTATCTCAAAATTGAACTGATTAAAAATGAAAGAAAATCAAAATTGAACCAAGCAACAACAATGTTTCGAGTGATATGTATGTAGTTGCCACAACTTCTATAAAAAATTTATTCACAATGTGCTGACATGCAACTAGTAGGCTTCAGTTTCATCTAAAAAATTATGGATGCAAGAATAATACTTTCTATGTAGCCATATTTTAGAATGTGTGGCGACACCTATAAGTGTGGGTTTTCCATAATGAGATCAAATAATAGAAGATGCTAGTTTGCTTGTGATTGTTATGTTTGATATTAAAAATAGGGCATCAGTTATGCATTTTGTTTCATCTCTCTTGAAACATTCAAGAATCAATCAACTTTGGTCAGAACAAATAATAAAAACTTAAAAGTGATTAAACATTTAAAAAAGTAAATAGCCCATCATTAGGGTTGTAAACGAGCCGAGCTTGAGCGAGCTCAGACTAGGCTCGTGTTCGACTCGTTCGAAAATGGCTTGTGTTCGAAATTGACTCGTGTTTGAAATAGCTCGTGAACAGTGTGTTCGTGTTCGGCTCGAAATTGGCTCGTTAAAATAAAAAAAAATATATTTTAATAATTATTATTTTAAAAAAATAAATTAATAATTTTACCTAAAAATTTTTCAAGTGTAAATTTTATATAAAAATTCAAGACATTTATAAACTCAAAAAAATGGATCAACTAAAAAAAATTTACAAGATCAAATTGAATACAAACCCTAAGCTCTCGCACCAGAAAGTCTTTCACGATTTTGAGAGGAGGGAAAGACAGCCGAACCCCATAACTTTCGAGACTGGAATGGGAGTCCGTTGTTTAGGGTTTTTTATCTATGGTATATTTTATTGTTATATATATATATATTAAATGTGTAACTTATATTCTATAAATATATAATATTTATATAAGAAATAGTAAGAACATATATTATATAAATATATAATATTTATATAAGTAATAATTCTTAATATTTTTTTATATATTATAATTTATAATATTTAATTTTATGAATACGTATTATGTATATTCATATATATTTATTTTCGAGTCAATTCGAGCCGAGCACGGGCGAACAAACTTTAGTTCGTGTTCGGTTCATTTACATTTCGAGCTTAAAAATTTGTTCGTGTTCGGCTCATTAAACTTAACGAACGAGCCGAACACGAGCTGCTTAACGAGTCGAACACGAGTTGTTCGCGAACAACGAGCCAAATTGACAGCCCTACCCATCATAATATAATCTAAAAAATTAGTTCTTATTAAAAGATTTTGATGTTTAATCTTAGAGTAGTTAGTAGGGGCCTATGTTTAGAAGTTCATTTCATTCTAAGCTGATCATACTTATTATTTGCATTTTGTGTCGTTCATCCATTCATCTTATGTTTGTTGGGATGCTTAAAACAATTCAAATGTATGTCTTTATCTTTTCTATTGGACAAAACATGTCTTGGCCTTAAATTCATTAGGAATAAACCTGTATAGATGAGCAAATTGAATAAATTGAGTAAGCATGATTTCTCTTTAATGCTTATTTTCTTCTTCTTTTTCTTACGAGAACTAAACTTTTTAGCCATCACCAAGTTCAATGTGTTGATTTAGTTTTAGGTTCATTTGAATTCTTGAGTTAATGTGTTTTGAGCTTTGTGACTATTTTAAAGGTGAAAACTCCACTAGTTAAAGTAGTTGAAATTGACCGAGGGGTGGTTTGATTGTAAGTATTAGGGATGAATAGTAAAAGACATATACAATTTTAAATTTTTAATTGTTTGATTTTAAGTAAAAATGAAGCATAGTGCGGCCCAAAAAATCAAAACGCTCAAATATAATTTTTGTGGGGAGTAAGGGTCTGTTTGGGGAAGCTTATTTGGTGCGGTGGCATTTTGAAAATGCGCATAGTCTGTTTGGGTAAACTGCATTTTGGTAGCTTATAAGTTTTCAAAACGCTAAAAACAGTGTTTTCTCGCCGCACCTATCTAGCTGCGGTGGGAGCTTTCTGGCTGCGGTCTGACTTTTCCAAAAAAATAAAAATTTGTAATAGACATCGCACATAGCTTATCAACAGATTATTTTTAATCAGCTTATCAAGAGATTATTCAATAAGCTACAGCTGCCCCAAACAGACCCTAAATTAAGTGTGAGTTGACACGAAAAAAGCTCATAATAAATGTTCTTAACTAGAAGCCTGCTCAATTTATATCTAATGAAGATGGGAACTATTAAACAACAAAATCAAGTTGCAAGAGCTAATTATTAGCACAATAAGTGAATGCATTATTTACTAACATAACTATAAATGTATAAGTGT